AAATTACTTTGAATGAATATATCAATTTGAGAAAAAATTATTTTTTTCTAATGAATTTATTGGAGTTGCATTGGTCAATAAAATTATACAATCAAACCAGTTCTCGAACATCTCCCATCTCAAACAATTGGGTTCTTGACCAAGTTATTCATGGAGAACATATCTTGGTTATTGGAATAAATTTTAGTTCTCAACCTGACAACCTTTTCAGGCTGATACAGCAGCATGACAAAAAAAAAAAAAAATCTCTCAGGCCACAAAGGAGAGAATACAATATGAGGTTACCTTAAATCTCACCTTGTTAACATCTCAGGATATTGTGCTGTGAATTTTTCCCCCCTGTGGTTGCTATTGAAATAGACGATTAGCACAATTTTAAAATATAAAGAGGCTATCAAGAGTGCTGATTTCGCTACAGGTGTGAAAGTGTTCATGAAACAATGGTCACAGGCAATTGAACAGGTAGAAAAGTTATTGATTTGGATAAATGAAAGGAAGTCAGCTAGTGACAGCATTTCAGAGGCAATGGTATGTGAAAAAGTGAAGATGCTGCATTTGACCTCCTGAAAGACACCCTTGGAATGAGTGCTGAAAGTGATTTGTTTAAGGCTCGTAGGGGATGGTTTGATAAATTAAGAAAAGAATTGTGTTTGCTTATAGATTAAACAGTACATTAAACATGTACTTTATACAAGAAAGGTGAAAACAATCATTTGGAGGTCTGGAACAAATTAATTCAATTTTCATTATTTCTAATGAGGAAAACTACAGTGGCTGTATCAGCCTGCATTCCCACCAACAGTGTATGAGGGTTCCCTTTTCTCCACATCCTGGCTAGCATTTGTAGATTCTTTAATCATAGGCATTCTGACAGGTGTGAGGCAATATCTCATTGTAGTTTTAATTTGCATTTCTCTGATGATTAGTGACATTGAGCATCTTTTCATATGTCTATTGGCAATCTGTACGTCCTCTTTGGAGAAGTGTCTGCTCAGGTCCTTTGCCCATTTTTTAATTGGATTGTTTGTTTTTTTGGTGTTGAGTTGTTTTTTATAAATTTTTGATATTAACCCCTTATCAATGCATCATTGGCAAATATGTTATCCCATTCAGTGGGTTGTTTTTTCATGTTGTTGATCATTTCCTTTGCTGTGCAAAAACTTTTTAGTTTGATATAGCCCCATTTGTTCGTGGGTTTTTTTTTCTTTTGTTTCCCTTGCCCAAGGAGATATATCACACACAAAAAAATTGCTACAAAAAAATTGCAGAGAGAGGGGGGGTCTTTGGTATCTCATCCTTTTCTTATGAGGACATCAGTTTAATCAGATCAGGGCGCCACTCATAGGACCTCTTTTAACCTTCATTACCTTTCTAAAGCCTTATCTCCGAATAACATCACATTGGGGATTAGGGCTTCAATATCTGACTTTCGGGGTGGACACACATAGGTCCATAACATTCTGCCCTCTAGCCTCACAAAATTCATGTCCTTCTCACATGCAAAATACATCCACTCCATTTCAACATCCTCCACAATCTTAACCCATTCCAGCATCAAAAGCTTCATCTAGATATCATCTAAATCAGGTCTGTGTGAAACTGAGCTATGATTCATTTTGAATTCTTGAGAGAGGAGCGAGAACGTTTAGTCTGAAACAGGGCTTTAAGACTTCAATATATGAGTTGGGAGTTGGGGGGAGGGGGGACGCATTCAGTCTGTACTTTTGAATTAAAATATTTTTAAAGTTGACTATCTCTGTGACCAGGTCCTCCTGCCTTGATGGATTATACACTCGAGCCCAACATGACAACAAGTGACTACTACTACCCTGATATCTCCTCAAGCCCCTGTGATGGGGAAGTTATCCAGAGAGAAAGCAAGTTGCTTCTTGCCATCTTGTACTGCCTCCTGTTTGTGTTCGGTCTTCTGGGAAACAGCGTGGTCATCCTGGTCCTTGTCATCTGCAAGAAGCTGAAGAGCATCACAGACATCTATCTCTTGAACCTGGCCCTGTCTGACCTGCTTTTTGTCTTCTCCTTCCCCTTTCAGACTCACTATCAGCTCGACCAGTGGGTGTTTGGGACTGTTATGTGCAAGGTAGTCTCTGGCTTTTATTACATTGGCTTCTTCAGCAGCATGTTCTTTATCACCCTCATGAGCGTGGACAGGTACCTGGCAATTGTCCATGCTGTGTATGCCATGAACGTGAGGACAGCCAGAATGGGCACAGCCCTGAGCCTGGGAGTCTGGCTGATCGCCGTCATGGCCACCAGCCCACTGCTAGTATTTTACCAAGTGGCCTCTGAAGATGGCGACCTCCAGTGTTATTCGTCTTACAATCACCAGACTTTAAAGTGGAAGCTCTTCACCCACTTTGAAATAAATATCTTAGGCCTGCTGATCCCATTCACCATCCTAATGTTTTGCTACATCAGCATCCTGCACCAGCTAAAGAGTTGCCAGAACAAGAACAAGACCAAGGCCATCCAGTTGGTACTCATCGTGGTGATTGCATCTTTAGTCTTCTGGGTCCCAGTCAATGTGGTCTTCTTCCTCACTTCCCTGCATGACCTGCACATCTTGGATGGATGTGCCATGAGCCAGCAGCTGATTTATGCCACCCATGTCACAGAAATCATTTCCTTCACCCACTGCTGCGTGAACCCTGTTATTTATGCTTTCGTGGGTGAGAAGTTCAAGAAACACCTCTCAGAAATATTTCAGAAAAGTTGCAACCACATCTTCCTCTTCTTGGGGAGGCCAATTGTCAAGGATATGGGGGAGAAACCATCCTCCTCCTACCAGCACTCCACCCGTTCCTCCAGCATAGACTATATTTTGTGAGGACGGTGCCTCAAAGTGGGTCTCTGCTTTCCCAGCCACTCCTCTTCCAAAGGACAAAAATGGTTTATACTGGGGTCTGAGTATCTTTTTAGTCTTAGAAATTTGGTTATAGACACAAGATATATTTCACATTAAACTTGTATTAGTAGGAATGTATTGAAGTTTTATATAGGAAACCCTTTCTCAAAAACACTTTCAAGTGCTGTTATAATTCTGATTTCAATGTTTTTGCATACCAAATAAAAGTATTTTGTTTTGAGTGACTGAAGTTTCTGGGGTAAAATGACTGGGCTTGTATAGCAGGGATCCAAAGGAGGGTAAAATTAATCAGGGCGAATTTTATTTTGTTACTTTTTTTTTTAGCTGTGGAATTTTAGGCAACTTACTTTAAATGCTTCAGTTAGTTTCCTTACATATAAAATACATACCTTTGATTTATGTGAAAGGATCATACAGGGTTACGAAGCTGTGTTCTGATGCCACCTACCTGCCACTCAGTAGCTGACAGTGACAAGAGTCGCCTGAAGTAGAACTGGAGCTTAGTTCTGTATGCGTTTGGTTATATGTGTCATATGTTAAGAATATGTCAAGGGAAGACTGAAGAACTATTCCAGATTGAAGGAGACTAAAGAGACATGACCGCTAACAAGTATATAATCCTAAATTGGATTCTAAATCCGGGGGGAAGTGCTGTGAAGGACCATTTGGGTACAGTTGGTAAAATCTGAATTTTACCAAAGGTGTGGACGGAGTCGGCGAAGAAGGAATGACACGGAGACAGCGTTCTCAGCAGCCTAGCCAGGATCTCTAGCCAAGTTCTGGTCAGGATCTCCACCCAGGTTCTGTGTCCATGTTCTCTTGCTAGGTTCTATCCAGGTTCTCCTGCCATGTTCTGTCTAGGTTCCCCACCCAAGTTCTTTAGCCCAGGTTCTGTCTAGGATCTTTTGCCATGTTCTCTCCCTAGGTTCTCTCTCTAGGTTCTCTGTCTAGGTTCTGTCTCTAGGTTCTGTCTCTTGTTGTCTTGTTACATCTGTATTTATACCAGCTGATTTTAATCCTATCAATTTCTTATCCCCATTCCTGGAGTAAAGATTATGTAGCTTAACCATGATTGTTTGTAGTTAAAGTGATTACCTACCCCCCTGGCACTTAGTTAAGGGGTTTTAGTCCCTCCCTAACTTCAGGGAAAAATCCCTACCTGGGGAAACAACCTTTCTCGGAGAGGCCCCCCTTGGTTAAAACACACAGCCCCCAAGAAGGGGAGCAAACATATCAAGAACAGTATCCCATATACGCCAGATCCCCTGAAACATATGCTGTGCAGATGCTTCTTCCCTGCAGCGACTATGTCAAACAGCAAGGATGTACCGGCTCCCAGCAATAACCCAAGTATGAAAGTATCAGAAAAGATAAAACAGAGAAACACCGCCCTGACCGGTTTGGTTCAGTGGATAGAGCGTCAGCCTGCGGACTGAAAGGTCCCAGGTTTATTTCCAGTCAAGGGCATGTACCTTGGTTGCGTACACATCCCCAGTAGAGGGTGTGCAGGAGGCAGCTGATCGATGTTTCTAACTCTCTATCCCTCTCCCTTCCTTTCTGTAAAAAATAAAAAAAATAAATTTAGCCGAAACCGGTTTGGCTCAGTGGATAGAGCGTCGGCCTGCGGACTGAAGGGTCCCGGGTTCGATTCCGGTCGAGGGCATGTACCTGGGTTGCGGGCACATCCCCAGTGGGAGATGTGCAGGAGGCGGCTGATCGATGTTTCTCTCTCATCGATGTTTCTGGCTCTCTATCTCTCTCCCTTCCTCTCTGTAAAAAATCAATAAAATATATTTAAAAAACAAAAAATAAATTAAAAAAAACACATACAAAAAAAGAAACACTTATAACAGCAACAGGTACAACAGTGAATGTTACCTGTTATTACTTACTAGGAAGTAAGCCCCATGAGGGCATCAATTTCATCTGTTTTATTCACTGCTGTATCCCCAGAGCCTGGAACAGCCCCCAAAACAAAATTCCTCCAGAAGTACCAACCATGCTCATGGGGGGGCAGAGAAACGGCGGGTCCTGCAGTTCCGATGTCTTCACCAGGTGGCAGTAGAGAGCGCGCCCTCACCTGCTCCAGACCAGCCTCCGACCCCGGAAGTTAAATCCCCGGGCTCTTTCTAGTTCCTCCAGCCTTCTCCACCCCTGATACATTGAGCCTAATCCTCTCCAGCCCTGAAGTCTGGGCAGGATGTGCCGGAGGGCAGAGCCGCGGTGTCTGCCAAGCGAGTGAAAAGCTGCCCGTGGTTCCCGGGCGCAGGCTCGTACGCCAGCCCGGAGCCACGCGCGCAGCCCGGGACCCCGCAGGTCCCGACGCCGGCAGGTGCAGACGGTAGCGAGCCCCCGCCTAGAAACGCGTCATCTCCTCCGGAGTCGCCAGGGCCGGGCCGGAGCTGCCGCCCACGGCCCCCCGAGCCCCGTGCACTCACAGACCTCCTCCATGATTCAGAAGTCACGCCCGGCGCTGCTGCAACCTCAGGATGTGGGGAGACAGGATGGAAACGCTTTATGGTAAACTGCGGGGAAAGGGAAGGCCGAGGGTTCTCGGGCTGCCGGCTCAGGGTAGGCTGCCAGGCTCAGCGGCCCTTTGTGGACCCTTTCCCGCGCCCCGGGTGCGTGCAGATTGGGGGATTGTCGAGAGTGAGAAGGAGGAGAGCATGGCAGCTTGGGACACACGAACAAAGGTCGGCGCCGGTGCAGGTGATTGTTATCTGGGTAGAGATGGCGGAATTGCCCTGGGCCCTGGGGGCCGGCTCTTCTAATTAGCGGGGAATGTGCACGTGAGGCCCCAAACGAGGTGCGAGCGCTACGGGTCGCCGCTGAGTTGGGTGCCTGGAGTGACAGAGGGGGAGGACAGTGGGCAGTTATTTGGACCATCTCAAGGCCCAGGAATAGCGCCGAGCCGGAGATGTGGCATCGCTGCGGCGGAGGGAGGGGCACCGTCGGGTCTCCAGCCCCGAGCGGGCCGGGAACAGGAGCGGTCGGCCGGCGCCGCGAGGCCACGCCCCCAGGCGTCCGGATTGGCTGCCGCGGTTGGGCCACCGAGTCCCTATTGGTGGTGACGGAGGCGGGGCTGCTGCGTCCAGCTCTGGCCTGGAGATTTATCGGATTTACAATTGAACTGCATTTAGGATTTCCTTGTTTACTTTTAAACATTTTCTTTTTTATTGATTTCAGAGAGGAAGGGAGAGGGAGAGAGAGAGAAACATCACGGATGAGAGAGGATCATCCATCTGCTGCCTCCTGCACGCCCCCTTCTGGGGATCTAGCCACAACCCTGCTTGTGCCCTGACCGGGAATAGAACCATGACCTCCTGGTTCATAGGTTGACGCTCAAGCACTGAACCATGCCGGCTGGGCTAGGATTTTTTTTTTTTTTAAGGGATGTACAAATTGCTTGGGGAACTAGTTTGCTGACTATTTAAGTGCTACTATTTGTGTACCTGTGTAGTATTGTTTGGTTCTTTTTGCCCTACAAAACAAAGAAACTGGATTACTCATTTTATTTACCTTGAATAATTTTGGCTATTTAGGAAGAAAACAAATAGTTATCGGCTCTATTTATATATTTGTCAAATATTTATTGAGCCAATAATATGCCTAAGTACTGTGCTGTGAAAAAGATAGTTTATGTAATGGAGGAGGTTCTTTTTTTAATCCTCACCTGCTTTTTTATTGGTTTTATAGGACACATTTGTAACCTGTGAGAGGAAGAGAGAGAAACATTGATGTGAGAGTGAAACATCGATCGGTTGCCTCCTGCGTGCAACTCAACCAGGGATGGAACCCAAAACCTGGGTATGTGCCCTGACAGGGAATTGAATCCAAGATCTTTCATGTACCAATGACACTCCAACCGTCTGAGCCACACCAGCCAGGGCTGATTCATTCATTTTTGACAGTTGAGCACCTACAGTGTACCAGGCTCCATGCTAGAGGTACCCATGAGCTGTACAACCAGGACCTGTCCTGGACCCTCAGTCATAGGGAGATGGGCTCAGGTGTGGTGGAAGCACGGATGGGGGTTAGGTCTAAGCCAGCCGTGAGCAAACTACGGCCTGTGGGCCGGATCCGGCCCGTTTGAAATGAATAAAACTAAAAAAAAAAAAAGACCATACCCTTTTATGTAATGATGTTTACTTTGAATTTATATTAGTTCACACAAACACTCCATCCATGCTTTTGTTCTGGCCCTCCGGTCCAGTTTAAGAACCCGCTGTGGCCCTCGAGTCAAAAAGTTTGCCCACCCCTGGTCTAAGCAGAGGCCCAGATTAATTAGACATGGGAGGAGCATGGGCAGAGTTCTCACAGGTGAGAAGAAGGCAGAGAGTCCATTGTAACTGCAGAGTGTAAGAGGCAGGAGGCTGAGAGCACAGGCAACAAAGATAAGATGGGGCCTGTTGATTCGTGGAAGGTTCTGCAAACCAGCAGTTTGGACTTTATCCTGTTGAGGAACAGAAACAAACAGTATTGTTTTTAAATTTTAATTCAAGTCTCTCCCTGAAGGTGTTTGCGCCTGGAAGCAGTGTGGTCAGATGTGCAGTTTTAAAAGATGACTGTGGCTGCAGGCCAGAGGAATCAAAGAGATGAGGTGAGGGAAGAGGTGGTGGCTGTCACCGAGGATACCGGCCCTGAGCTGGGATGACAGCAGGTGAATTTGAGAGCTGTTAGGTCCACAGCAGTTCTCAACCTGTGAGTCGCAACCCCTTTGGCGGTCGAACGACCCTTTCACAGGGGTCGCCTAAGACCATCCTGCATATCAGATATTTACATTACGATTCATAACAGTAGCAACATTACAGTTATGAAGTAGCAACGAAAATAATTTTATGGTTGGGTCACAACATGAGGAACTGTATTTAAAGGGCCAGAAGGTTGAGAAACACTGTGTTAGGAGGTAGGATGAGCAAGTGCAGAGGGGCCGAGTCAGGGGAGCTGCCCAGGTTTCTGGCTGGGGCAGTGGGTCGGTAAATGGCATGGCATTCACTGGGATAGGGCAGCCAGGAGAAGGAGCAGGTTGGGGTGAGGGAGAGAGATGAGTTCAGGTTTGGAAATGTGCCTGCGGCACAGCTGAGTACGTGGATATGTGGGTCTGAAGCTCTGGAAGGAGTTGCAAGTGTGGACAGAGGGCTGGAGATGGAGCCATGGGAGTGGACTAGTGTCAGGGAAAGAAGAGGAGCGTTTCCACCCAAAAAAGAGGCCAGAGAAGTGGGAGGCAATCCCTGAAGCCAGGAGAGAGCATCCCAAGACGAAGCCAGCAGTGGTCAACAGTGGAGCCAAGTGCCCACTTCAGGCTGGGAGTGTGGTGAAAAGAGCCTGAACTTGCCAATGGGAGGTGGAGGGGGCGTGTCTGGACCGAGGCTCCTGGGCTGGAGGTGTGGGTGTGGGTGTGGGCGTGGGCGTGGGCGTGGGTGTGAGCAGGGTGAGGTTGCCCTAAGAGGCTGCAGCTGGAGGAGATAAGAGGAACAGCAACATCTGCAGGCAGGCCGAGGGAAAGGAGACACAGCAGGGCAGCTGGAAGAAGAGAGAGAATCCCAAACTGAGAGGGGAGGCCATCAGCCATCTCAGATGCACCAGAGAAGCCATGTAAGAAACGGATAAAGACGGGAATGGGGTCCGGGGTTGCAGTGGGTCCTTGGCAAGCTCACAGGGCAGCTTAGTGGAGAAGCCTTGGCTGGATGGCAGGTGATGGTGGGGGCCTGAGGGGTGAAGAGGGAGAGATGACTGGCCGTGGAGCGGGGGGCTTGTAAGCTTGTTTCCAGGCAATGGAGAGGATGCCACTGGAACAGAAGAGGCCAAGAGTGCAGGGAAGAACACTCATTGGTGCTGTGAAGTCTCGGACGAGGCTGAGAAACACAACACTTGCTGGGGTCCAACCCCAGCAGGTCCAGGGGTCCCCAAAGGTGTGGACGGAGTCGGCGAAGAAGGAATGACACGGAGACAGCCTTCAGTTGATCAGCAGCCTAGTCAGGACCTCTAGCCAGGATCTCCAGCCAAAGTTCTGGTCGGGATCTCCAGCCAAGTTCTGGTTAGGATCTGATTAGGATCTGATGTTTATTGTCTTGTTACATCTGATGTTTATTGTCTTGTTACAGTCGATTTTAATCCTGTCAATTTCTATTGCAAAGGTTAGTGCGTTTCTTATCTCCATTCCAGGGAGTAAAGATTATGTAGCTTAAGCATGATTGTTTGTAGTTAAAGTGATTAACTACCCGCCTGGCACTTAGTTAAGGGGTTGTATCCCCTCCCTAACCTCAGGGAAAAATCCCCACCTGGGGAAACAACCTTTCTCGGAGAGGGGACCTTGGTTAAAACACATGGCGCTAAGGAGAGCAAACATATTAAGAACAATATGCTATATATGCCAGGTCCCTTGAAACATATGCTGTACAGATGTTTCTTTCCTGCAGCGACTGTGTCAAGCAGCAAGGATGGACCGGCTACCAGCAAACTTTAGGGGGATGAATATGTGTTAGCAGAAGGAGCAGGACCCGCTCCTTGGGGGAGGGGCTTTGTGACACAGACCTGTAGTGCTCCGTTTCACTGTTGTCTTGCCAATTCTTTTTATAAAAATATTTTTTTTTATTGATTTCAGAGAGGAAGTGGGGTGGTGGAGAGAGAGAAACATCAGTGATGAGAGAGAACTATTGATCGGCTGCCTCTTGCACATCCCACACTGGGGATCAAGCCCACAACCCAGGCATGTGTCCTTACTGGGAATCAACCACTGAGCCACTGGCCGGGTTGTCTTACCAATTCTACCATCCTTTGATACTTTTACAAGCTGCCTGAACGTGGTTATAAACTCCACTACTTACTGTCTGAACTTATCTAATCCTTTCTCCAACAATCTTTTATTTATTGATTTTTTAATATATATTTTATTGATTTTTTACAGAGAGAAAGGGGGAGAGATAGTTAGAAACATCGATGAGAGAGAAACATCGATCAACTGCCTCCTGCACATCTCCCACTGGGGATGTGCCCGCAAGCCAGGTATATGCCCTTGACCAGAATCGAACCTGGGACCCTTCAGTCCGCAGGCCGACGCTGTATCCACTGAGCCAAACCGGTTTCGGCTCCAACAATCTTTTAAGTAATTCCAGTTATAACTTTCGACTTGATCGTTTGATGGAATGTGGAATGATTTCTCTTCTCTGGAAAGCAAATATCACAGATCATAATCATTTTGGTTACATGATGTGCATAAAGGCAACTTTATATTAATCTTAATGGTGTTTTAGGACCATGTATGCCATTTATTTAAAAATAACAAGGGGGCCCTAGCTGGTTTGGCTCAGTGGATAGAGCATAGGCCTGCAGACTGAGGGGTCCCAGGTTCGATTCCAGTCAAAGACACATGCCCAGGTTGCAGGCTCGTTCCCCAGTAGGGGGCGTGCAGGAGACAGTCGATCAGTGATTCTCATCATTGATATTTCTATTCTCTCCCTCTCCCTTCCCCTCTGAAATCAATAAAAATATACTAAAAAAAATAAATAACGAGTCGGAGAAGACCGTTTTGAATGGAGCTTGCCAAGTAATTCTTTGGAGAAGGCTTTCTTTCTTGACTGGATTTTTATTTTTCACAGTATTTTTTAATTGTTTATCAAGAGCTATTCCTTGGCTCAGATATTCATGTTCCATAGTTCAGGGACTCAGGTCAGTGACAAACTTCCGTGGAACACAACCCAGAGAGATTCTTGACATTCCAGGGGCACTTTGCACTCTGAAAGATGTCAGCCTTCCTCATCTCCTCAAAATCTTTCCTGGGATCGTAATTGCTGTAGAAATCTGCATGTGTCTTCTTTCTTGGTTCAGCCACAGCACACTTACAGCAAGCTGCAACCCCGGGGATGCAGTGATCGCTCCAACAATATGAATCGCAGACGTGTGGCCAGAAGGCTGCACAGCTGAGGTCTTGTCAAAGCACTGGAAGGCCTGCTCGTCCTACTCATCTTAACACCAGCAGCGTCCTTCCTGATGGGGAAACAGGGCCCCCGATTGGATTTGTGCAAGTGACTTTTCACAGCCCCGTGTGACCGAGGCTGGGTCCTGGGGCATGCTGTGAGGGCTCTGCAGCTTGCCTGGGGGAGGACATTTAGTTTTTGATGGGTTGCTGCCCTTCCGGGTGGTGCCTCTGGATTCATCGGTGTGTATGACTTAGAGGAGAGCCAGCAAAACCAGCACAGGCCACTGGGCTACCGCATCCTCAGCCAGCTGCGTAGGTCTCAGAGAGATGGGTAGGTGTCAGGAAAGGGGAAGGTTTTAAATGAAGGAAACCCATAGGTTTCACAGGAAGTGGCGCCTATGGTCTTACACTGTGGCCGAGCTTAAGGTTTCATTTCCTTTGTCTTGTTCCTATAAACATCTGCAGGCCCTGCGGCCGGGTGGCCTGGAAACCAGCCGTTCAGAGTCCAAACACTGGACTCTGTGTTCAGTCGGTTTTGCTTTTGTGAAGATAAGGAGATGGGCAATCATTTTTATTGTGGGGACACAGATGAAATAGACATGTCGCCCAGTAGGAGCCAAGTTATCAATATGGAGACCAGAGAGCTCCCCTGCCGTGTACTATGCTCTCAACAACCTTGCAGCCCCTTTCACTACTGACTGCGCTTTCCCCTTCTCCCGAGCATGAAGCCAGTAGAGGGCGCCACCAGGTGGTTTCTAGGAGATGCTTCCACGGGTGAGGCCGCCTCCGCTGACAGCGTTCTCTTGCCCTGCAGTTGCACCCGGTGATCAAGGCTTTCCTGTGCGGCTCCATCAGTGGCACCTGCTCTACCCTCCTTTTCCAGCCCCTGGATCTCCTCAAAACACGCCTGCAGACGCTCCAGCCCTCGGCCCATGGGTAAGGCCTGCTGCCCCCCATTTCCCTGAGGAACTGGTCTCAGAACCTCTCTCTGGCCCAGGAGCACCTGTACCGTGTGAAGTCCACCTCCATTCTGTTGGCTGCTGGCTGTTGGAAGCAGGCCAGGCCCTACCTTCATGGGTTTTGTGTATATTCTTCTCTGTGAATATTTTTTTACATTAATTAGTGTAATTGATGTAATTTAATGTTGATTGAACGGGGTCCTGCCCTGAGCAGCTTCCTGGATCTGCCTGGGTGACATTTGCCTGTTATTGTGCTAGCCCGTCCTGTGCCTGTGCTGCAAGTATGGGGTGTCTTCCTTGCTTCCCCGTATTGGGTTCAGCACCGTGGGCAGTGTACTAAATATGCATGAACTGGAAGGATATAAATCAGGTTATTCCATTGTTTGTAGGATGACTGGACAGATGAACATGTAAGTGTCAAATCATGACACTTAAGAACTCCGAGATTCCAAGACGCACTGTAGATTCTAGGTGCCCTGAAGGGTCCACGCAGAGGAGTCTTGGAGCAGGGAGTTCCCCATGCGGATGTGGTCTGTGACTTTCCCTCCCTGTTGTCTGCCCCAGATCCAGGCGCGTCGGGATGCTCACTCTGCTCCTGCAGGTGGTCCGCACCGAGAGTCTCCTGGGCCTGTGGAAAGGGATGTCCCCTGTAAGCTGCCTTTTGGACCTTCTCTTGCACCCTCTCCTTCATAACCATTTCTCATCTACCCCACGTATCCTCCTTTAAGCAAACGGGAGAGGTGGGAGTGGTGGGAGGACCTGCGTGGTCTTCCTGCCTGTCTCGCTGTTGCTCCCTTTCTGTGTGAGGGCTGGGAGACATGCACCTGTACACTAACAAGGTCTAGTGCGCCTGTACACTAACAAGGTCTAGTGCGCCTGTACACTAACAAGGTCTAGTGCGCCTGTACCCTAACAAGGTCTAGTGCGCCTGTACACTAACAAGGTCTAGTGCGCCTGTACACTAACAAGCTAGTGCAGCTTCTACCTCACTCCCCTCCTCGGGTGGAGGGTAACTCTGAGGCATGTCCTCCACCTATGCCAGAGTTCCCCAAAGAGATTCCGTTGCCCATGGGAGTAACTGATTAGATAACACTCCCTCTGTTGCCCATGGGAGTAACTGATTAGATAACACTCCCTCTGTTGACCGTCTTCCCTCTCTCCTGTTGGTGTTCCCTCCACACCTTAAACCAACTGCTTGCATGCAGATCCTGGGTCCTTTGGGGAAACCCAGCTAAGACAGTATCTGATAGTGCCCGTCTTTGATTTCTTTCCTCCTCCAACTCTTACCACTCCCACCCCCTTCCCTGCAGTCCATTGTGAGGTGTGTCCCTGGTGTTGGAATCTACTTCGGGACTCTCTACTCTCTGAAGCAATACTTCCTGCGAGGCCATCCCCCCACTGCCATGGAGTCCGTCATGCTGGGGGTGGGCTCTCGCTCGGTCGCAGGGGTCTGCATGTCGCCTATCACTGTGGTCAAGACGCGTTACGAGGTGAGTTTGACCGCTTTAGGCCCTCGGGGTGGGTAAACAGAGTCCTGAAGCTCCTTGAGTTCAGTGGCCACTGATGTCACCTCCCAGAGAACCCATTTGAGTATTCAGGCCAAGCCATGTGTGAGCCAAGGCCCCAGTGCCCTGGTAAGGCCACCCACCCTGCAGTTGGCTTGCTTCAGTGCTCGCACCCAGGGCCACTGTGCGAGCCCCTGTTCTGTGCTTCCTTTGCAGAGTGGGAAGTACGGCTATGAGAGCATCTACGCAGCCCTGCGGAGCATCTACCGCAGCGAGGGCCACCGGGGCCTCTTCAGTGGCCTGACGGCGACACTCCTGCGTGATGCCCCCTTTTCTGGAATCTACCTAATGTTTTACAACCAGACCAAAGCCATCGTGCCCCATGGTACGGGTAAAGGAAGGTGTGGTGGGGAAAGGTCTCCCGCGTTCTCACCACTTTCCCTGCGACTGTGAAACTGTTCATTGCTCTTAGCAGCTCCAGATCCTCAGCAGAGTTTTAAGAACTGAGCCAGGGCCAGGCGCTGGGGTGCAGTGGGCAGCACAGACGTGGCCTCTGCTCTTTCACGTGCAGCCTTTGGAAAGGGATGTACTGTAATTCTTGGCGGGGGATGGGGCAGAACAGAGCACTTCTCCATAGGCCCTTAAGAATACTTCCTAAATTTGCCTGATTCTAAGATTGCAAGAGGACCACGTAAGTGATATTGTGTCCCAAGTACCTTAATGTCAGGAAGTTCATGACATTAGTTTGACACATTGTGGGTAATGTTAATTTTTTATCATGTGGATAAGGTAGCATCTCCATTGAAAACTATTATTATTATTATTATTATTATTATTATTATTTTGTAATTTGTATCTCTGTGGGGAGATACTTTGAAACTACATAAATCCATATAAAACTTCCCGTTCCCTTCATCCCTACGTTTGAGCATTAGTCATTGGTTCTTGTTGAATCAATTATGATGATTGTAAAAAGGTGAATTTTCACTCCATCAACACTTATTAGGTATATCTTTAAATTTTTTAATTCTTAACTTTGTTTGAATCCAGGACCTTCTGGCTATGGGGAAAAATTAGTGAGCAACTTGGCATTGATACTTATAAGATGAATGAGATTTATTTACAACTGCATGTTCCCTCTGTCCTATTTCAGACCAGTTGGATGCAACCCTTATTCCCGTTGTAAATTTCAGCTGTGGGATATTTGCTGGTGTTCTGGCCTCACTGGTGACTCAGCCTGCAGATGTTATCAAAACTCATATGCAGCTCTCCCCAGTGAAATTTCGGTGGATTGGCCAGGCAGTGACAATCATCTTCAAAGTAAGGCTGTACAATCAATATTTGTTCTTATTGTGCTTAAGGCACTCTCTCTAGAGTAGCAGTAGCCCTTATCCTTTACCCAGTAGAATCACCTGGGGAGCTTTTAAAAATCCCCACAACCTGGGCTGATTACAGCAGAATTTCTGGGGGGTGAAACCCAGGTATCAGAATTTTAAGTTCCCCAGTGGTTCCAATGTGTTGCCAAGATTGAGAGCCACTGCTGAAAACCTGTGGTCAGTGGTTTGTTTGTTTGTTTTTCCAGGGGCCCTATATTAGGACAACCTGTGATATTTGTTAAGCATGTAGATCAGGGGTCCTCAAACTTTCTAAACAGGGGGCCAGTTCACTGTCCCTCAGACTGTTGGAGGACCGGACTATAGTTTAAAAAAAAAACTATGAACAAATTCCTATGCACACTGCACATATCTTATTTTGAAGTAAAAAACCAAAACGGGAACAAATACAATATTTGTATTTGCATGTGGCCCGCGGACCGTAGTTTGAGGACCCCTGATGTAGATTGTAGGGTTCTACCCCAGACCTATCGAATCAGGTGATCTGGGGGGACTTGTCAAGGACCCAGGAGGAAATATAGTCAGAAAAAAAACCACAAGCATTTTGTTTCTCACATTTGCTCTTAAACAAATGGTGTTACTGAAGATAACAAGCACAGTAGACATAAATGCTTTGACGTACTATCTAGAGCCACTGAGTTGGCCCTTGGGAAGCATGTACTGTTATCACCCACCAGATACTCTTGTTTGCGGTAAATTTATCAGCTGTATCTTTAGATTTTTCTGTACTTCTCAACTTCTCTATGCAGCAGAGGAAACCTGAGCATATGCATCAAGTTCTACCCTAGATAAAAGCAGATATTTCTGAATCTGATCTTATCTTCACACTGCTTAGGTTGCCTGCTAACTTCTTCTCTATACCTAAAGTCACATAGTCTGAAAAAAAAAAAAAAAATATATATATATATATATATACTTATTGTTGATAGTATTACAGATTTCTCCCATTTTCCCTGCCCCCCCCCCCCCAGCCCCTACCTGAAATATATTCTTCAGTATATGAGAAAATGGCAGGAATGATAACAACAGGAATGAACAAATCAATTTAGATTATGGGGGATGAAAAAGAGGTGTTTTGTCTTTAATTCTTATATAGAGCCATCAAGAATATACATTGACCCTAACCGGTTTGGCTCAGTGGATAGAGCGTTGGCCTGAGGACTGAAGGGTCCCGGGTTCGATTCCAGTCAAGGGCATGTACCTTGGTTGCGGGCACATCCCCAGTAGGGGGTGTGCAGGAGGCAGCTGATCGTTGTTTCTCTCTCATCGATGTTTCTAACTCTCTATCCCTCTCCCTTCCTCTCTGTAAAAAAAATCAATAAAATATATTAAAAAAAAAAAAGAATATACATTGAGTTACCCCTCTCCCCGTCCCCCCTCCCTATAAAGCTCCCTCTAGGCAGAGAAATTGCCAAAAAGGCACCTGTTCCTTTCGCCTGGAGCCAGGGCCCAGGGCTGGGTGAGCAGACCTTGGTCTGGATTTCTGCTGCCACTGGGACCTAGTGCTTCTGTGCACTGCACAAGCTCTACACCTGTACAGCTAAGAAATGAATCCCCCGGGGAGGGAGTAAACCTAGAAAGAAACTTTAGCGAAGTCAGAAAGAAAAAAAAAAATTATTACAATGTTACTTTTGGTAATTGCATGGATATTAATTTCAGGAGGAAATTTTCAGCTTAGAGAACTCAAACCCTTGCCCAATGAAAGAAATACAATAGTAAAATGTACAGAAGCTCCTTTGGAGGAAGGGACAATACTAGACATGTCATGAATTTAACGACGCCAAAGTGCTTGTCCTACAAAAGGTTGCCAACTCCATTTCTTGGCCCTCTCATTGGTAAGAATGGCCTCCCTGGGACTTAGCACAAGGTGAGACTATTTCTACAGCAAATGTTGAAGCCTGGGTTTTTGGAGTCCAAGTGGATGGGACCTCCAAATTCTGCCCCTACTGCAGGGTGGCTGACCATCCTCTAGAAATATAGCCTCCTTTCAGGGTGAAAAACATTTTTTTTAAAGTTCATTGTCTTCTTGAGCTCACTAGTCATAGTTTGGACATTATTTATAAAAGTCTTCAGACTCAAAAATGGGGTACAGAGAGACCTCACTCTGTGGCGGGTATATAATTATATTGCTACTTCACAGAGTTTTGACATTCCTTTCCCTCCTAGGACTATGGGCTGCGTGGCTTCTTCCAAGGCGGTGTCCCCCGGGCCCTCCGCAGGACTCTGATGGCAGCCATGGCATGGACAGTCTACGAAGAGATGATGGCCAAGATGGGCCTGAAGTCCTGACCCGGGGGCACTGGGAAAAGATGGGATCTGTTGCCCTGCCTGGTTTCTGCCAAGAGCTGCTTCATCTCTAACCTGGACTGAGATGAGGTCCTATGGGGAAAGCCAGGCAGATATGTCACCTTGTTACCCAGTTCACGTAGCGAATAGGTGGGCCTGACTCAAGCTTTCAGAATCTCCCCGAAGAGGAGCCACTGAGACACACAGGACACGGGGGAGTTGGGAGAAGGGCGTGCACACCCTGCAAACCTGAGAGCATTTCCAGGGAGAGAGCTCTGTCGGGGGTCTCCGCGTCAGCCACCCACCTATACCACGGTGCCTCTTTGGGTCTGTTCTTTGCAAGGAATTGCAAAGCCAGAGAAGCTGTGGGCCACCTGCCATGACTGAGGAACTCCAGCGGGGGGGCTGGTTCTGCAGAAAGAGGAGTCCCTGTCACCAGGCCGGAGATGCTGTTGGGATGAGGAAGAAAAGGTGTCATGATGACTTAATTAGTTCATTAACCTGGCAGAGGCTCTGCAGAAGGGGGGACAGTGGCCTCCTAGCCTCTGTGTCCAAATAAAGGTTTTTTATTTTGTCCCAGCACTGTTTCAACTCTGAGTTCTGGCATTTTCTGCAGCTGAAGTCCAGATAAAGAAAATGAAGCACTTTATCATTGAAAACTGCTTGGAAAACCTAAATAGTGTCCTCACTCTGTTTTAAGACCTAGATAGGTCCAAAAATTTAGGACCTAAAATTGTAAACAGCGTTATGTTACTTGTTATCAGTTTGTCCATTACAAATACACAATTCAGTGATTTTTAGTAACTTTACTGCATTCATCACCATAAATCAATTTTAGAACACATTTATCCCTCCCTAAGATCTCTCATAGTTAACCCTCATTCTGGGCCCCAACCCCAGGCAGCCACTGGTCTGCTTTCTGTCTTAAATTTGCCTTTTCTCTATATCTCATGTCAATGGAGCCATACAATATGTAGGCTCTTGTGTGTCTGGCTTCTTTCACTTTGCATAATGTGTTTAAGGTTCATCTATGATGTGGCATATCCAACACTTTATCCTTTTTTATTTTTAATATATTTTATTGATTTTTTTTTTTACAGAGAGGAAGGAAGAGGGATAGAGAGTTAGAAACATCGATCAGCTGCCTCCAGCACACCCCCTACTGGGGATGTGCCCACAACCAAGGTACATGCCCTTGACCGGAATCGAACCCAGGACCGTTCAGTCCGCAGGCCGACGCTCTATCCACTGAGCCAAACCGGTTACGGCACTTTATCCTTTTTTAATGGCAGAATACTATTGTATTGTATGCCTAGACCCTATGTTATTTATCCATCAGTGAACTAATATTTTGTTTCCACTTTGGGGTTTTTATGAATGATGCCACTATGAACATTCATGTACACGTTAGTATGGATGTATATTTTCGTTTCCCTTGCATATACAGGGATGGCCAAAAATAGATTTGCATAATGCAAATCCTATATAATAAAGTTGTAATATGCAAATGGTTACACTGTGAAGCGTAGCAACCAATTGCATAATGACTGGATCACGGATCAGCAGGAGGGTGGGGCAGAGAGCTAAAAGCATGTGGTGGAGAGCTACGGGCAGGGGCAGATGAAGCTATG